CTGAAGATGCCCAATACCCAGAGATTTTACTGCCTCCCCTACTGCAGCTTCTGCCCAGGGCCAGGAGCGGAGACCCTGACTCCCTCCTAGCCCCTAAGTAGACCCAGCATCCACTAGATGCCCACCCTCCCCCAAGCAGCCAGAATCCCCCCACCCCAGGTGTCTTCACTGGCCGGAGTTGGAGACCTTGAGCTACACATAGTCTAACCAGATCTGTTCACACCCAGGTAAAACAAGGGAGGCACCTCCTTGTAGCAAGTGGAAGGGCTGCTGGTGGAGAGATGGCCTGGGGCCCCAGGGTGTTGTATTTGGATGGTCTCAGGTCAAGGACCATAGCATGGAACAACTCCAGGTGTGCAAGTCACAGGCTGTCCAGTGCACAGCCTGGGGTCCATGTGGTGGTCTTAGACATGGGATCATTTCCCTGTCCCTCTTTCCTTAGAAACCTAGCTTAGCTCCCAACCCTCCCTAACCTACTTGCTCCCCACATCCCAAACTGCAAACGCTTTGGGAGCCAGATTGGGAGCAACCTGGCACTTCATAGGACCCTATAGTCTTGCTTGCCCTGGGTACTGCACAACTTCACTCATAGGAATCACGTTTCAGGCCCTGGGCTGGGCAGAACATTGTGGACTGGGCAGGAGGCTGGCTGGGTGTGGTAGGGTTCCCTCCAGACCAGACCAGTCCTGTCTGCAGGGCTCTGAGAGATCCTGGGACCGATGGCAATGAGAGGCTATAGTGCCCGCGATGGGGTGGGGCAGGAGGAAGTTTGTGGTCCTCCTCCAAACACAAGACTTCCTCTTTTTTTCCAACTGTGGCAAAATACACATAACATAAAAATTAACCACCTTAGTCATTTTATTTTTTTAGAGAGAGATTTTTGCTATAGGGTGCATGCACTCGCTGGAGAGACAGAAAGACAGAAAGTGAGAAATCACCTCTCCAGGGGGGAATGGCCAGGCCCGCACTCCCTTCTTCTCCATTCTCTTCTTGGGATTTGGGGCTCACATGTACACATACACACACACACACAGCATGAGTTTAAAGCCACCAAGTCCAGGATTCAAACCATGGTCGACGACACGGTACTATGTAACCATTAGGCCATCTGCTGGTCCCCTACCTTTGTCATTTATAAGTGCATTGTTTAGTTGTGTTGAGCACATCCCCACTGTGCAACTGTCATCACTGTCCATCTCCAGAACCTTCTCCTCTTCCTGTACACTAACTCCCTGTTCTCTCTCCCCCGGCCCCTGGCAACCACCATTTTATTCTCTGACTCTGAATTTTGCAACTCAAGTTCCATCCTGTAGGTGGACTCATATAGTGTTTGTCCTTTAACGGCCACCTTCTTTCATTCAGCATAGTGTCCTAAGAGTTTAGCCGCACTGTGACATGTGTTCAATTTTCCTTCTTTTCTAGAGGTTGAATAATATCCGATTATAGAGAGAGACGGCATTTTGCCCATTCACCTTGTGCTGAACACCTGAGCTGCCTCCACATCTTAGTGTGACTAATGCTGCCACAAACGTGGAGGCACAGAGAACTCTTTGAGACCCTGCTTTCAATTCCTTTGGGTATAGACCCACAAGTGGCATTGCTGGATCACATGGGTAATTCTGCTGAATTTGCTGAGGAACCACCAAACTGCCTGCCACAGCAGCTGCACTGTTTTGCATTCCCACCAACAAGCGGTCTTCCTCTTGGCAGCTGGGAGTAAAATGCCCCTGCAGCCTCCCCCTGTCCCTTGAACATGGCCCCTTCTTCTCCTGCTTGCAGTCAGTCTGGGAGGAGGTGGTGTTGAGTGGGGGCTATTTAGAAATGGGCATGGTTCTAGATTCAGGCATTCTAGCAGAATCCTGACCAATCAGTGGGTTTTGCCTGAGCCCCCGCATTTATAGCAAAGCATCCTGCTTTAAGACCTGTCTTTTAGTGGAGTGTTTTCAAGTCTTCGACTCCAGACACCCCATCCCCGCCCCAACTGGCAGCTCCTCGATTTTCTAGGTTTTCCAGACTAGGAGGCTCTGGGACATGCAGACAAGACAAACTTTCTCCTTGTCAAAGCCCAGATGGGAGAAGGACCCCACCGCCCCATCCCACCCCAAGCTGCTGGGGGTAGCCAAGGCAAGAGGGTCCAGCCCCCTCCACACACACACACATTCCACTGTGCTTCTGCAAGGCAAAGCCCGCCAGCCTGAGGTCCTTCAGCCCTCCCTCTCCCCCTCAGCAGCTACTCACCTCGGATGGTGTGAGCCAGGAGCCCAGCGAGTTTCCCACACTTTGGCCCCATTCACAGTGTTAAACGGCCCACAAAGGCCAGGCGTGTGCCTCGGAGGCCGCCCGAGCTGCCATCTGGCCCGCACTCAGGGAGGGAGCAAGCCTTTCATCCGGCTGGGATTTAACACCATTCATTTCATATTTCCCACAACTGAAAATTGGATCAAAGCTGCTCCAGTCCAGGGGGAGGGAGGAGAAGGAGGAGGTAGCCCCCCCAAGGCCCACCCACCACCCTCACCTCCAGCAGGCTGCAGTCCTGGCCCACTGCGGGTGGGCGGGCAGTTGGGGTGGAGTGGGGGCTGGGCCACATTTCCCCTGGCACGTGTCTCATTTGGGCTGAGAAGCTAACTTCAGGAGGGGACCAGGCAGGACACAAGCACCAGTCAACTGCCCTTTCCAAAGACTGGTGGTAAGCAGTGCCTAGCCTGGGTGCCACCCCCCACATCTGGGCACAGCCTGCCAACTAGTCCCTGCTGCCAACAGCTGGGTGGCCAGGCCATGCATGGGCTGAGACTCTGTTTCCGACTGGTGGAGACAGTGGCAGGGTCAGCCTGGACTTGGGCTCGCTTTGCCCCTTGTTCCTACATTTCCTCAGCTTTTGGCTAAGTATGCCAAAAGTACTGTGCTGGGGCCAAGACCATCAGAACACAGACGAAGGGCACACAGGTGACTAAGTTGTCCTGCCTTCATCCCACCCCCAGTCAGCCCATAACCAGGTAAGGGACACACCAAAATACGACAGCCCAGCATAAACCCCACTTTAGCTGCAAAATGGCTCTACTGAGCATGGCCAGGCGCCCCCCTTCCAGCCTACGGGGCCTACCAGTCCACCCCCACAGTGCCCAAGGCTGTAGAAGCTGAAGTATGAACTCATGGCCTTGCCACTCCCACCCAGGGCCTGCCTGGGTGTCCTCTGCCCCTTGGCATCAAACAAGGGCCACAGTGCCTTAGTAAGGTCCCATGTGCTCAGAGAACCAGCTCAGGGTGAGGCAGCCCCAGCCCCAGTTATCACCTCCACTCCTGAGGCATGAATCCCCTTCAAGGGAGGTGGTATGGAAATGTAGGGGCAGCAGGTACCACAGGGTGAGAAGGGGCTCCTCCCTTTCCCTTCAAAGTCATCTGAAGTTCTCACCCTGAGCCCAGGTCACCTCAGTGTGTGGCCAGCTGGCCTGTGCAAGGACCATCCTGTGCTAGCTTGAAGTCATCTTCCCCTCTTGTCCTGGCACTGTCCTGCCTGCCTCCTGAATGGGTCCCTCTCTGGGTAACCAATGGCTCCTTATGCTGAGAGACTCTTGGGGCCAAGCCCACCAAATAGGCCACTCACATCTGGGGGTCACTGCCAAGACCCCTATTATGGCAGCTGCCATCCATCCATCTGAGACTTAAACTCTGGCTGAAGTACACTGAGGCCAATCCCTGGCTCCCAAGACTGAGGCCTTGCCTTCTGCTAGGATCTGACTGAGTTTCAACCTGCCCTTCAGAGGCAGCCAGGCCCCCACCTGCAGACCCCTGGCTGCAGAGAACCAGAGGAAAAGAGACTGATCCAGGGGGAGGAGGGTTCTTCCAAGGCCCTCCCTCCCCTAGGGGCCCAGGATGGGACTGATGGCTCCAAAGCAGTCACTGACCCTCAGTGCAGCTAGTCAGGTACGAGTTAGTTCATCCTGTGGACCCCTAAGAACCTGTCTGAGCTAGCACAACTTCTCTGTGAGCTCCATGTCTGCCACCTGGCAACCCCTCCCTGTGCACCCCCCCCAAAAACGCACAAGGAAAGCACACCCTACCAATGCACCCTAGGCTGTGCGGGCGGGGGAGGGGTGTGCTGCCACAGCTCCCTGACCATGTGGGAATAGCGACCCCAGCAAGCATGCTGGGAGTCACGGGGGCCCTCCGGAGCTCCGTATAAGCTGTGCTGTAGACCATGCAGTGGTCTTGTGAGAATCCTGGCCAGACCGGGGAGGGGGCAGGGCTCTAAGGCGCACCTGGTTCCTGGAGCAGCCCAGATGCTACCGCCTGGCAAATTGCTCCCAGGAGGACAGAGTGCAGGGGTTCCTGGGGTGGGAGGTGTTGCCTCGGTGCTGGACTCCATGCTGGACATTCCGTGTACTCTGGCTCCCTAAAGCTGTCCAAAACCCAGCCAAGGCAGGCATCCCGGACAACTTTCTAATTGCGAAGAAATCCTGAGACTCGAGACAGTCTAGCAACTTGCCGCATAAAGTCAATAGGGCTGAACCTGAGATCCGGGACCCTCTTTCACCCTCCACCTACACGCAGGGTGACAGAGTACCTGCTGGAGAGGGTGTGAGCTCCCCTGTTTGCCTCCCTAGGAAGGCAGCAGGTCCCTGTCAGAGAGGGCTCCCATCCCCCTGGAAGTCCCTGCCCTCGTTAATTCTAAAGCTCTTTCCTTATCTTCCTCTGTGGCCTGTGCCAGCCAGCAGTGGGGAGTCGCTGGGGAGGGGGAAGTAGGAGGGTAAGGGGAGGGAAGGGGGTCGCTCCTTCCTGCCCTCTTCCCCTCCCCACAGCCTGGGAAAAGGCAGCATATTGAGGCGCGGGGCTCTCAGCATCAGGCCGCGGGATGCTAATGAGGGCGAGCGCGTTCCCACAGCCGGGACATTGTGCCGCGCGGCCCACCTGCTCCTCGGGGAGCGCCCATTGTGCCCGCGCCAATTCACAGGCAATTTAGCGTGCGCCGGGGCCGGTGTCCACGCCAGCCCGGGACGCGCCTGGCCCCGTCCGCGCCCGCTCCGCTCGCCTCGCCTCTCTTCCTCGCCGCCTCACCTCTTCCGCGCCAGACATGGCCCCCAGCACTGTGGCCGTGGAGCTGCTCAGCCCCAAAGAGAAAAATCGAGTAAGTGCCAACCCCGCCCGACGCGCGGTCCCCAAGGCGTCTAGACCCAGTGGTCCCTGCGTAGTCGCGGGCCGCCTGACGTCTGCTTCCCCCGCAGCTGCGCAAGCCGGTGGTGGAGAAGATGCGCCGGGACCGCATCAATAGCAGCATCGAGCAGCTGAAGCTGTTGCTGGAGCAGGAGTTCGCGCGGCATCAGCCCAACTCCAAGCTGGAGAAGGCTGACATTCTGGAGATGGCCGTCAGCTACCTGAAACACAGCAAAGGTGAGCCCACCTTGGTCCCCCGCAGTCCAAGCCCCGCCACCCGAGCGCTCCCGCTGCTCGCCGACGCGCGCTCACCACCGTCCGGTCTCCCCGCAGCCTTCGCCGCCGCCGCTGGCCCCAAGAACCTGCACCAGGACTACAGCGAAGGCTACTCGTGGTGCCTGCAGGAGGCGGTGCAGTTTCTGACGCTGCATGCTGCCAGCGACACGCAGATGAAGCTACTTTACCACTTTCAGCGGCCGGCGGCTGCACCCACTGCACCCTCCAAGGAGCCCA